TACCCCACACAGCTCGTCCAACATGCCAGTGCATCAAACGTCGCCCAGTGCTCGAAAGTGAACGGATTCGTGGACCTTGACAGCCAAGCAGCATTCACCACGATCGAAAATGATTTTTCATTTACGACGAGCTGTGTGGGGTGCGTGCACACTCGGAAAGCACGTCGAAAAGCCAAAAACACTGCCTCACGGGGGTCAAACGCGGCATAAACACTCTTTCGTGCCAGCAGCTTTTTCGATTTCGGGTGTGCGTTGGCTGTCAACGTCAAGGACGGCAAAATCACGCTTTCGTGCCAGAAGTTCTTTCGAGTTCGGGTGTGCGTTGGCTGTCAAGGTTACATTAGAGTATCTCCACCGCACCTCTTAATTTGGTCGCTTTATAATCCACGATGTGTGTTTTGCGTGTGATTTTGTAGGTATAACCCACTTGTATGTACAACTGTGTAAAACTGCCTTTATAACCGGACCTCCAATTGATGTGTAACTTCGGGGAGATGAGGGAAAAACTGGATTTGTTATATGCTCCATGAATGATGAGTGTTTTGTCTCCCGCTTCTTCTCGGCTTTCGGCCACGGGACTTTCGTCAAGGTAGCAAATATAACACACTGACATTAGTGAGGTTAAACACGCCGCGAGGCGCCTACTGACTACCATTCACTAAAGTACTCAGTACCTCCACTAAGGTATCGGAACCTTTGACACGGCACACACACAGAGTGTGTGTGTTTGCAATGGGTCAAACTAACGCGCGACCCAATTGCTCTGCACGCTGCAGAACACTTCCCCTCCTACGGAAAGTCCAGTGTCTTGATGAGGGCGGCCACGGCAGGGTCTTCCTTGTTCACCGCCGCCCACTTGCGAAATACGACTGGAATGTCGTCCAGCAAATTCGCCGCAGGCTCCCAGGACGATTCCTCATCGTCGAGTCCAAGCCACTTCACCAAAGCTTGGTGTCGGCCATCCACGCAGCGCGCTTCGTCGTTCAGGTGCTCCACATTAAAACGATTTGGGTGAGTCTTGCTGCCGCAAAAAATGTCAGAAAACACCAGTTTTTAAGAAACCACCGTGATACAAAATTCAGAGAATTCAATATTTCGTCAAATTTTGCGTTTTTCGTCAAATTTTGTGTTTATGAAATCCGCCATCGCCAAACGCGATCTGCGCCTCGAGGTCTTCGGTCACCTCTCTACCACCTTCGTGGTACATCATCAATCGGCATGCTTGATGGACCGTGACTTCGTACGGTGGCACCAGCTGCTGAGTCTCCATCACCTGGTCTGTGATGACTCTGGTCACTTGGCAGGGTCCGCGCCAATGCAGGGCCAATTTTGTGGGACGGTTGACGACCGATCCGACGAGCACAAAATCGCCGACCGAAACTTGTCTTGGGATTTTCGGTCGCGGCGTCCACGCGCTTGCTGACGCAACTTGTCGCTTCGCACCGCCACGTTGCGGTGCATTTCTTCAAGCGCCAAATGGAGGTCCGTCACATATTTCTGACGGGCGGCACCAAGCCAGTCCGCGACGTAAACTTCCTTGGACGTCGGGTGGACAAATCCTGCCAGCGGGGTCTTGGCTGGCAGGCCAGTAAACGCTGTCACAGGCGCAATTCCTCCCAGCCGGTCCGCCGGCTGATGGTTGAGGGCGCCTTGAACGAGGGGCACACATGCGGCCATTCGTCCGCGTTCAGCTTCATTTCGCTGAGCAGCGCCTTCACGGCGTGCAGCACTAGTCGGTTGACTACTTCTACAGTCCCCGTTCGCCCAAGGACTGTAGGCTGTTGTGATGTGATGATGGTGGGCACCCACCAACTTCCGCACCTTCTCGACCACTTCGTTCTTGAAGTGAGAACCGCCATCTGACACCCATGTGTCAACGCAGCCGAACGTGGTAAACCACGTCATCAGGCACTGAGCGGTCGCGACGGCGTTAGCGGACTCTGCCTCGAACAGCTGCGCAAAGCCACTCATGTCGTCCTTCACGACAAACACTTGTTGTTGGCCAGACTTGGCCATTGGCATCGACAACCATCGAAATGGATTAGCTCGTTCGGCTTCTCCGCGTGAAGCGCCGAACCCAATGGACGGGGGATCATTTCTCCGTCAATGCACAGGCAGTGCAAACAGGCCCGCAGGAACGCTTCAACGTCCGTGGAAAGCGTCTTCCACACAAACTTGTCGGCCACCGACGGTGACCGCTGACTCCTTGGTGAGCGATCACACAAATCCGCTGCTGTAGGTCGCCAGCACCGTCTGGGATCCAGATTCGACCGTCTGGGTCCACGTAAAAATGGGAGTCGTCGTCCCAATCCACGCCGTTTGGGGGGATCCCTCTCCCTTCCAGGGTTGAACGTTGGATGCCGCTGATCGTAGCGGCTGTCGGCCACTCGAAATCCACTTGTTGCAGGGGCGACACCACATGGATCAACTTGCGAACATTCGCAACTGGTTGATCCGTCGGAGCCGAACCCCATCGGCTCAGGAGGTTGCCCCAAACATTCGCGTCCCCCGAGACGCACTCAACGGTGTATGGGAAGGTCGACATCACCAGCGACCATCGCTGCAACTTGTCGGCCTGGTACTTGGCCATGTTGGCGTTCGAGCCGCTTGGGTTGAAAATGTACACCAAGTTGCGATGATCCGTAAACAGACGGAAACCACCAGGGCGTACGACCAGGCAGTCGAGTTTCTTGCACGACTCGACCACGGCATAGGTCTCCTTCTCCACGATGGGCCAGCGCGCACTCTCGCCAGAGAACGACCCACTGATGAACCGCAAGCGGCTGGTGCCGCTGGTCTTCTAGAGGCAAATCCAGGTCCGCTGGCGGTACTTGTGCGACGACCGGACCCCAAAACAGGTCACTGGCGTCCGTGAAGACGCAGACCGTCATGTCTTCTCGCGGGTGCGACAGGGGCGCCACATGCGCCAACGCGTGTTTCACCTCGTCGAAACACTTGAGATGATCGGACGACCATCCCACGGCAGTGGGTGCAACACGTACTAACGCCGTTTTCTTGCAGCTTCCGGTTGTCTTGGTGGCCTCGTCAAGCAGACCTCGCAACGGTCCACCAGCTGATTGTAGTCGGGGATGCTCGCACGCATCCAGTTGGTGGCACACACAAACTGCTGGAGGTCGGCCGCGGTCGTCGGCGGCGACGAGCCCACAAGTCCTTGAATTCGGCTTGTGGAATGGGTGATTCCATCAGCCGAAATCACCTTGCCACACCATTCTGCCTCGCACAGAAAGAAACGACACTACTTCGGGCTCAACTTGAGTCCGAACTGGGCACAGATGGACAGGACTTGGTCCAACAAGTCAAACAGCTCGTCCGTCGTCTTGGCGGGCCCCAGCAAGTCATCGAGCCAGGCTAACAGGCCTCGAAACAGCAGCTCACCAGACATTTGGTGGACAACCTACTGGCAGCACGCGACAGCGTCCGTCTGTCCCATAAGCACGCGGGTCGGGGTGTACACGCCGAAGGGCGTCATGAAGGAGAAGTACATCTGGCTGTCCTCATGTAGCGGCAACTGCCAGTACCCCTTGGTCCAGTCCAACGTGAAGTACACGTTCGTTCCGACCAGACAGACCATCGCGCTGTCCAGATTTGGCACCGGCCAAGGCATCGGCTCCGTGCAGGCGTTGATCGGCCTGCTGTCGATCGTCATGCGCAAGTCGCCGACTTCCTTCTTCGGCACGATCCTTGGGGCTGCGGCCCACGTAACCCGGTTGTTTTAGTATACCATACCAATTGCTTCCAGGGCAGCCACATGGCTGCGCATATACTCCACATGCAGCGGCGGGTACCGCCGCATCCCACACCACCTCACCGGCGTCGAGCCGGGTTTGACCCGAACCTTCAATGGCTCGATCTTGACTGGTGGATCGTCGCCCAAGTCTTCACGGAACACATCAATGTGTTTGGCCAATAAGTCGTGCAGCCGCGTCGCTTCAGCGGGCGCAAGCCCGCGCGTCTCCGCCTCGGCTGCCCTGGCCGCCAGAATGGCTTGAACGGCGCCCTGCTTCATGCGGCGGCGCTCCGCTTCGTCCTCAACGGAGGTTTTGGGATGAACATCCGGAGTACCACACTCCATCCCGTCGTTGGAGTCAAGCTCCAGCGGATTCAGCTTCGCCATCAGGCGCTTGACATTCGCCATGCCGGACAATTCATTCGTCGGCACGGATGAAACGTCCCATTCTTCCTTCTTCTTCCTTGCTCCAACAAGGAGGTCTTCAACGCTGAAGCCCAGTAACTCCATGACTGGGCGACTCACGATGAGTTCGGTTGCAGTCGACGCGTCGTCGACCCAGGCCTTCAGACCGCGCAACACAAGCGGTCCACACGTAGTGTCCAGCGTCACACAGTTGAACTTGACGCTGCGCGTCATCAGAAATGGCTTGGCGTCACTGCCATACGGATACGCCAAATGCGGCACGCTATGGGAGACAGTCCCAACTTTGACACTGGCTGCATCCAACGCATCCATGATGCCGCGCGTGACAACGGTCACGTCCGAACTAGAGTCCAAGAGAACATCGTCCACGCGGACGATATTCTCCAAGAGCACGCCGCGCTCTGTCTTCTGGCGCTGCGGCTGGTTGACCCGCACCTTGATGCCGTCCTTCCAGCGCTTGACTTGCGCTGCCAACAACGTTTCGGCTTCGCCAGACGCGGTCTTCGGGCATCGCGCCACACGGTGAGTCATGTCACCGCACTTCAAGCAGCCCTTCTTGGCAGAGGGCTCGGCATTCTTCGGCACGATCGTTTCGGCCTTTACGACGACTCTGCCATTGTTATTGGTGGCGTCTTCCCGGCCGCTGTCACGTCTTGGCGTATGAGGCTTGCCGCCTCGTGGAGCTTCTACCGGCTTCGCTGCCGGGGAAGGTTTGGACTCGTCATCGAGTCCCACGTACAGCTGATGGCCAGCTGCAATTGTTCGCAGCCAGTTGACGTAACGAAAGACGTCGCTCTTCAACGCCTTGTTCCGCTGCAACTGCAGCTGCTTTTGAACCGCTGTCTTCAGCGACTCTGACTTGATCGATTTCGTCATGACTTCGACGACCATCTTGCCTTCTTGATGGAGTACTCACTCCTGATGATCTTGTTCCAACGAGCGCATCAGCTTGTCTAGCATACAACCGACGCGGGACTCCGCGTCCAAGATCTTCGTATCGAAGCAAATCGCTCGCTGCAGACGTTGCTTCAAAACGTCCAGGACTTGAGGGTCTTCCTCAAACGCTGACTTGAACCACGCGACCCACTCATCGTTCGTGATGGAATGGTGGTCGCGGTTGAAGTCGAACAGCGCGATCCGGCGATTCGAGAACGGGATCCATGCAGGCACTCACGGGCATCGCGAACGGACGCGATCCATTGCACTGCAGAGCGTTGATCTGCCCCAGATACTTAAGGTACTCGCGCATAAAAGCGCGTCTTTTGGTCTTGGCCGAGCCCGAAAATGTCGGCGGCTGCGGGAGCGCCGGCGCGTTCCGAACTTGCAGCGCCGTACGGCCGTAACCGCCATCGCTGCCCATGTCCGTGTTGTCACGGACATCCGACGGGTCGTTGTCGGCTGGCAACGGCACTGAAGCGCCATCTGCTTCAGTCGTTGGTGGAGCAGCAGCTGAGACAAATGCTAAGACAGCTGATGTTCCTCGGTTTGTGGAAGGGGTGTAAAACCCACCACGTGGCGGTTGCCATCCATCCACAGCAGGTGGCTGTCGTCGTCGGGGAGATCTGAACGGGTTCTCAACGGTGCGCCGAGCGGCGCGTCCTCGCGTCTCCTCGATCCGGTCACGCGACCGCGATCGTTCTTCAGCGTTCGTTGGCGTTTCTTCGTCGGAGGAATGTTCGCGTACCGTCTCCAGTGAATAGCCCAACAATGAACTAAAGATATCTTTGTTTTGTCTTCTGCTTCTTCTCGGCTTTCGGCCACGGGACTTTCGTCAAGGTAGCAAATATAACACACTGACATTAGTGAGGTTAAACACGCCGCGAGGCGCCTACTGACTACCATTCACTGAAGTACTCAGTACCTCCACTACGGTATCGGAATCTTAGACACGGCACACTCACAGAGTGTGTGTGTTTGCAATGGGTCAAACTAACGCGCGACCCAATTTTGCTCTGCACGCTGCAGAACAATGAGTGATAAAACCGCATTGTGCCATGTGCTGCACAGAGTTACTTCATTTCCCAATGAAGTTTGGGCCAAATTTGCAACGGCCTTATTCACTAGACTCCACTCGCCAGACCTCGATCATTTGTTCA